GTATAGCACACCCAGTTACTAATATCGAGCAAGTACTAAATTATTATCACGCCTCAGTCTGTAAAAGAAGATTTCATCTAACAATATCATTTGGCACGACTAAAGAAAACACAACTCGGCTTCCTGCCGAAGTCTGAAGGGAACAATCAGGGACAATATAAGGATCAACACAGAAACCGCATCCGAAAAAAAGAACTAGCCACATGTGACACTAGCATTGCTCAATACTTTACCGAAGATTCTGAGCTGATTTAAAGTACCACAAAATGGCACATTTACATTCCATAACTCCCGCAGGACCAAATCTTGCCCGGTCCAGTGCAGCCATCCATCCTGTGTGGACTCGCTACTTGCGGAATTCTTCCGGATGTTGGAAAAATGTACGAAACTGTGGCACTTTTCCGAGATCGTGTGGAGATATTTACAACCACGGGAATTCGTGATACCTTTATGAATGGCGAGGGGCGATTGTTGTACGGTTTCAGCCTGCTGCCCCTGTTCTGGTTTTATCCCACCTCAGGTTTGAAAGGTGTCGGTTGAGAAATTCATGATCCATGACGCTGCGAAAACTGCGTCGCAACTTTTACCATACGAGCGTATTGGAGACACACCATCGCCCGGGTGAATTTCTGATGACTGCGAGCCCTTCCCCATTTTCTCCTTCGGTGGACCTCCTTTCATAACCAACGATTTGCGGTCAGCGCAGGAGAAGGTAGATCACTCGGCATACCTTTGAATAACTATCAAGATATGAAACTTGTAACAAGCTAGAAACGCCTAATGTACTTGCCGTGACAAATCGGAATAAATGACGCCTTCCTTTGAAAATTAGCGTGGCCGTTAGTCGATCGCCAGAGAAAAAAAAACTAGGATCACTAACGGTCACCTTTTTTTATTTTTAAGGAGCGGTCCATTTTGAAAATGCGAGAAACGTAAGCTCTAGTGATCGCTGGAAACAGCGCAGTGATTTTGTCCGATTCTTCGCGCTGCCCATGGTTCCAAATACCTTCCCAACCTTTTAGTCTTTCATTCGATGACAGGTTGGGGACTACAAAGGTCGAAATGGATTTAACGAGTCGCATGAGGCGACCAGTAGCATTTCCAGAGCACAGCTATAGAAGTCGATATAGTCCGCCACTCAGTGCGGAGCGGTCGCCGAGGAGCCCACGCCGTGCCCTTTTTGTGCATTGATTAAGTGGTATCAATTCAGGAAAGAAAAATTGGCCAGCGATAGAAAACGTGGCCTCACTCCATTCCCTTCGCCATAACCCTGGCTACACATACCACCATGACATACTTCTCCCATATTTATAAAGAAAAGAGAATTATAAAGACAACTATTATCAGAGTTAAAACTTACATAATAGTAATCAACAAGCAAGTGTTGAGTGTACCATCGAAACACCCTTTCTAAAGGTTTGTCGAGGGTTGGGTACAGGCATTTCATTCCTCGAAATCAGATCTCCACTCGGCAAAATGACCTCGTTGCTATTTCGAAACTGCAGAGAGATTCTACATAGTTGCATAGCATATAAAAATTTCTGGAACTTCCAATCGCCACGGGAATCATAAGCGGAATGCGCCATTGAAAAATGTAATTCTTTAGGTGCGGTATTAGGCCAGGAGTGACACATGACACTTGATGATATTCGACTGCAAGGCGAGGAGGAGGAGGAGGAGGAGGAAGGAAGGGAGGAAGTAGTTGCGTCCGCATCGTTCGCGCTCCGCCCACGCCTGGGTTCCGCAGATGGAAGGAGGAGGAAGTAGTTGGTAGATCAGTGTGTAGAAAGCCGAAGCTTCACCGCGTCCTAGGTCGTCTCGCAAGTTACATATGCAAGCAGGAACGTCATGATATGAGGAAACTAATCCTACGGTGCACCCTAACCCCAAAAGTCCCACATTTGCCAGCGGCGTGAGAAAGGCTGAACTTCTGCCCCCTTCCCCAAAACATCCCTCCTCTCAAATCCGACCTCATCTCAAAATATTATAATATTTTCAGATATGGCCTTCCACGTTTTTGACTACCAGAAGTTTTGAGAGCAGTTTCAGTTGTTTTCGTTATTTCTACTGAATTTATTCTCTTCTTGACGAAAACTTATCCTGCCTCAAAATTGATTCGTTCACTTCTTGATGGAAAAATTGACTCAGTACTAGAGGCAATATGTCCTTCCCATGAATGCGGATCAGCAAACTACTCTCTAAACAAAGAACTGATTCCCCCCTGCAATATATTTACCTAGATTTTCCCAACTTTCGGCCATTGTTTTTTCAGTCTTTCCGGAACTCTCCAAAACTTTTCCAGTCTTCTCCCAAAATTTGGGTGCGGGGGAAGGGGAGGTCATCAGCGACCAACTACTAGTTTCAACCATCAGAAATAGTAGTTATACATGACTTTAGTGGCGCCTTCGACTAGAGGAGGGAGGGGAAACGCAAAAAGTCAACAACCGGGAGAATTTCCCCCTAACAACGAGAAATCCGGTCCCCTCAACCTCCCCCACCAGCAAAACGCGCCACCTCCCTGGGGATTCCCTAACGTACGACGACGTGGTCTGCACCAAACCCCTGACATGCAGTGGTCGTAGCTGTATAGTTTGTAACATGCAATCAGTCGTGGGCGGTGTGAGGAGGGCGGGATGAACTTACTTGCGGGTGCCTTGCACTGCCAATGCTGAGTGAAGACTGATCGATTCAGGATGAAAATAGCCAGCGGTGGAAAGGCCGCGTGTGGCTAGTCCATTCCTCTCGTAAGCGATCTGACTGATTGCGATCAGGGCAGGGTGTAATGTGTACAATGGTGGTGTAGGTACGACCCCCCCCCTCAAGAGAGGGTGTCACTACCACCCTTCCCACCTAAATGAGGGTCTCGGTACGACCCATCCCCTTCCCCAACACCCCTACCTACCCTTTTCCCATAATTTCCAGTCCAGTTTTTCACCCAAAAAAAACCGTCTAGCGGAGGGGGGAGGGGAGGTACATAGCCAGTGTGAAACAGGAAAATTTCTTGAATTATCGTCCCGAGAGCTTTCCTACATTTGCCAAAAAATTTCGCTGTCAAGCGAATTTTGCTAGGAAAAGTACGACCCCCTATGTGTTGCACCCAACGATGCTGTACCCTGGTTGCGATGGTACGAACTGTAGTTCATCCGGACCCGGCGGCCCCTGCCGCTTTTTAAAAGTTTCTCTCGAATTGAAAAATCCCAACTAACCCATTCCAGTGAAGTACACAGTCATGTCTCAGGAATATGGAGTGTACACGGTAGTATTTTGTATCCGATTAACCCCCTATCGGAGCCATTCACACTCATTCTTCATACTGGCATAAACATGTACATAGTATAATGCAAAATGATCTGTTGACAATTTTCGTGGTTCTTCTTCAAAAGGCGCTTACGTCCGGTTGTTGATCTTTTTGAGGAATGGGAGGATACGTCACCAATTCGTCAAAATGATTGAAAAAAAGAGAAGTGTTATTCAGAACATCATGTCAACAACGTGGAGGAGGACGTCGACCAACTTCCCCGAAGTAATGGACAAGATGACGTGAACACTTGTAGAAAATGGTTGTGGAAGAAGAAATGTGAAGTTGCTGGCGCCCATATCAGGCACCGGGAGGCGTCCCTCTCATAATACCATACCTCTCGTGAGTTCTTTGTTAAGGATGTTAACCGAGTCGTAAAAAATCTGCGATGCGATTTCCTCAACTACCGGCCACGCCAACGCTTGGCCGTCTGCTCACCTCCTCTCGACTTTATGAACTCTGTGTGGCCTTGCAAACTGTTCATACTGCCAAGAAGAACGCAAGATATGCCTTTTGAAAAACACCTGTCTTCAAAGTG